AACTTATAAGTTGTCATCCTATACCACTTTCTGGTTGAAAATACCTTATTTATAAGGTACTCAACTGCAATATAGGCCAATAGCTTCACTTCTTGATCATCCACATTATGCCAGCTCTTTCTCCTTACCGGTTTCTTCAGCTTCAAGTTTTTTGTATACAAAACCTTTAGCAATCCACACATAAACACACAAATTTAAAGTGCTCAATGCTGCAATTAGCCAATAGAAGTAATCTAGGTGGGCACGATTGAGATTGTCAGTAAGCCACTTTTCACCAGACTTTGAGCTAATTGCTTGTACCAAAGTTATTATAGCACTGCATATGAAGTTTCCAACACCTACCACACTGAGGTATGCTGCTGCTCCCATGCTTCTCATTGCCTCCGGTGTCTGATCATAGAAGAATTCTTGGAGCCCAACAAATGTGAATACATCAGACAAACCACATACCATGTACTGTGGAATTAACCACCACACTCTCATTGGCACTATTGCTTTCGGGTTGTCCAAGAGGTTGTGGTCTATAACAATGCCAACCCTTTTGGCTTCTACCAAAGCTGCCACCATCATACTGATTATGGATAGAAATAGGCCAATGCCAATTCTTTGTAGGATGGTGATGCCAGAGGAGTGTCCCGTGAATTTTCGGGCTGTTGGGACGAAAACACGGTCATAGATTGGAATTGCAACTGCAACTGTGAGGCCAATGAATATTTGGAGTGATGCTTGGGGAAGCTTAAAGTTTGGACCAATTGACCGGATCATCGTGCTTCCTTGCTTGGTGAAGAACGTCTGAACAAAGGATTGGACTACTGCAAACAATAAGCAACACATCCATACGGGAATGAGCCGTAGGACGAGCTTTACTTCTTCTACTTGATTTAGTGAGCATAATCTCCACGGATTTCTGTTCTTGCTTGAAGCATCAAGATGGTCGATGATAATTGCCTTGTCCAAGCATCTAAAGTTTTCAACTAGTAAGACAAATCATTGGGGATAAAAAGGAAACAAAAAACAAATCATAATTGAACTTCTAAAACTGAAAAAAACACACACACACACAAACTAGCAAGGCAAATCATGTTGGTCTTATGTGCATTAGTGCTAGAAGCATTAAAGTTATGGAGACATAAAGTTCCATTTTGATTTATATAATTTATAGATACAACTATTCTAACCTCAAAGGATGTCATGACTATGAAGCTTTGTCTATGTAAAATTGTACCTAAAGATAAGATGAGGCTTTGCTTTATGGTGGCCTGTTAGCATACCTCAACTGACTGGTCTGTGCCAAAAACCTCCTAGTCTCATGCTGATCCTTGTCATCTCTAGAATACACACCAAAACCAGTGGATGTTCCATTGATGTGCCGCTTCCTCACCGCCGCCACAAACACCTGAGCCACCGTGGTGAAGGGGCTGCCTAAGGGTCCCTGCTTTCTGTATTTCTTGTAACCAAACAGAAACACAGCCAAAGCTACCGCCATTGCCCCTGTCAATATGCCAAACCCTGCCGCCCACCCAACATTATCCTGCACCAAGGAGTGACAAATTTTGGGAGATTCAGAATTCCAATGATCATTAAATTTTGGGAGATTTAGCATTCCAATAATCAGTAAATGATTGTGGGGCTAAAAGGCCCGCAGTATTATGGTGTTGATCTTAGCATTCATACATAAATTACTACAGGCACAATTCAAGGACAAAGTTTTAAAATTCTGACATATATTTTGGAATATTTTGAACATAAGGAGTGTCACCAAAAAATTTCCCAAATTTTAATCACCAAGCAACTTACATGTCATTTTCTTACTGGTTATAAATAAATGAAAAACTGTCACAAACGGGACAGAATTTTTGGATTGGATGCAAAAAGGTAAATGAATTTCGCGTCTAAAATAACCCCCAAAACAAACTATTTGTGTATGTAAATATGATAAGAGGAAGAGGCTGTTGACCTGCACATATATGACTACTAAAATGGCAGCAGAGGCACCAACTGTGATCCCCAAGTACCACCAGTTGAAGAATGAGCTCTTAGCCTTTTTCTCCTCCGGTGAGTCTTCACGGAACTGGTCTGCTGCAAAGGTTTGCACACAGGGTTTGTGCCCAGCTAGTCCAACTGACAACATGTAAAGTGCTACAAAGAACATTGCCTTCTGATAATGCAGAGGAATTACTGAAACTGATATGGTTAGCAGTACCATTGCCTGCAGAAAGACATGAAAAACTAACAATCATGGTTTTTATTTCAAAGGGTAACAAATGAAATCAGTTTTGGCTGAACTTTACCAGTAAATAAATGATGGAGGAGACAAAGATGGTGTTGAATCTGCCAAGAAAGGCATCAGCTATGAAGGCTCCAAGTAATGGGAGGAGAGATGAGACTCCAACCCAAGTATTTACATTTTTTGCAGCCATGGGGATTGGCTCATGGAGTTCATTTGTGAGGTATGTGATGAGGTTACCAGCCATACCAAAGTAAGCAAATCTCTCTGCCACCTCAACAACTGAAACAATCAAATACAAAAAGATTTTGGAGATTAATTTTAAAAACTCTAAGAAGAAGCAGAAGTGGAAGAGGAAGAAGTTGGCTTACAGATGATGAAAATAGCAGCACCCCAACCACCTCTGGAACTGGAAGGTTCTTCTTGGCTGATGAGATTCTGCTCTCCGTCTTCATGGTAATTTTGAACCCTTAATGGTGGTGCAGCGCCAGAGGTAGCCATAACAAATTGGTGAATGGACTTGGTATCTTATCGGTTAAAGTTTGAGGTTCAAATTTGAGTATTTTCTAAGTGCACTCACATACATACAA